GCCAAGCGTGTGAACCATTTGCATTGCCCAGGGACTCTAGTAAGGTATCCAGAGCCCAACAGTAGTTGAATATCAGGAACTGGTCAGACCATTTGAAAACTCATTAATTATAGTAGACATTTTAAATTCCTCTCGAAGGAAACCCTCTCTCTTCATAGCTTGCCATGCCCCCTCTGAGAGACCACGTCAAGTTCTTCTGTCACCTCACTGGTTCTTTGAGATTGGCGATGGGGTGCACGGGCAACATCTCAGTGGTTTCTGGGCCCTGGGCCCTGCACATCGATTGGTGTCTATTGAGGCTCAGGGCGTGGACTCCTAGTGGTTCTCAAATCCAGTAGGACTCCAGTCTTGTGCTCAAGTAAAACCAAACCTCCTTTGTGCCGCTGGCTTTTTGGACTCGGTCTCGGTGCTGCACATTTGTCCCAAATAGCAGTGGCTCGTCAGACACAGCCCATTCAACCCAGTCCCTGTTGCTTGTGAATTCTGCCAGCCTGAATATGAGCCAGGCTTCAGAGGCTGTGTCCCATACAAATATGACCCGTGTGTAGTGTCCCCATGCAAGTCATGGTGAGGGAGGTGGAGGTGACCTTTCCCAGCAGACAGCGATCAAGGCTCACTTTATAAATATGCATAAGCTGTGCTCAGGGTCAAAGTGGGGAGCCTTGCTGGAGCTAATAATGATTTTTCCTTGCTCAGAGGAAGATAAACTAAGCCTCTGATTCATTTAATTTGCTGATCTTACAACCTATGGAAATAGTGGCCCTGGGTCCATCTTTATGGTAGTGATTTTGGTGTTGTGTTGTTTGTTAATACCTCACCTGACTTGAATCGGGTTGCCCACCTCCATCCTTCATGTCACAAGCCATCCGCAACTCTCACTGGACAGCTGTACGACCCCCTCACTGCTCTCTGTTTCTTTTCTCATCACCCTCTAATTCTTTCTCTAAGCAGCCAGGGTAATCTCTTTAAATAACAAAGCCTTGGAGGGCTCCTCCTCTTTACTGTGGCCCTGTCCATGTCTTCTGCTTCATCCTACAGGCTACGCCTGACCCACACCCTACTTATTCGACTCCGCCATGTGGCCTGTCACTGGAGTACTCCAGGGCTCAGGATTTCTACTGCTGCCAGTCCAGCTACCTGAAACGTTTTCCTCCACCACGTCCCATCAGTGCCGCCTCCTCATCCTACAGCTTTCAGCTAAATTAGCTCCCCACCTTCTTTATTCCTATGGCGGGACCCCGTCTATTTCCTTCACTGAGTTTTCATAGTCTGAGTGGCACAGTGACTAAGGCATTTTGACTGCTAACCAGAAGTTTGGTGGTTCAAACCACCAGCTGCTCCACATGAGAAAGATAGGACAATCTACTTCCATAAAGATTTATCATCTAGGAGCTCTGGTGGCGTAGTGCATACGGCATTTGACTGTTAGCCGGAAGGCTAGCGGTTCAAACCCACCAGCCACTCCTTGGAAGGAAGATTGGGCAATCTGCTTCCATAGAGATACCACCTTGGACACCCAAGGAAGTGTTGCTATGGGTCAAATCAAGTCTATGACAGTGGGTTTGGGTGGGTTTTTTTTTTTTTTTTTTTTTTTTTTTTTGGTGCATTGTTAATTCCCCAAAACCCCCACTAGAATATAAGGTTCAGGAGGGCAGTAACGTTGGGGTCTGTGCCCATCCCTATATCCCTAACACCAAATGCAGTGCCTAGCACATAGGTGGCCCCCAGTAGTATTTGCAGAATAGTATGCAAATGATCTAGCCCATATGAAAAGGAGGCCTGGTGGCAGAGTGGTTAAGTGCTCAGCTGCTAACCAAAAATTTGAACCCACCAGCAGCTCCACAGGAGAAAAGACCTGGTGACTTGCTCCTATAAAGACGACAGGTTAGAAAGCCCTATGGGGCAGGTCTGCTCTGTCCTCCAGGGTCACTATGAGCTGGAGTTGACTTGATGGCATACCTAGCAACAACCTACAGGAAGAAAGAGTTGCAAGGGAAATCTGTTGGAACATCAGTCTCAACTTGCTTTTCTGACTGGAGTTGCTGGGTGCCATCAAGTCCACTCTTGACTCATGTGCCTCATCTTACGCCACTCTGGACCCTGTGAACAACAGAATGAAACACTGCCCTGTCTTGCACCAACCTTCATGATCATTGCTGTGTTTGAGCCAGTTGTTGCAGCCACTGTGTCAGTCCATCTTGTTGAAGAGCCTCCTCTTTTTCCTTGACCCTCTACTTTACCAAGTGTGGTGTCTTCTCCAGGGACTGCTCCCTCCTGATGACATGTCCAAAGTACTCAACTCAAGTCCGAAGTCGCATACTCAAGTCCAAAGTCACGTACTTTGTACTGCTTTTCCAAAAGCAAAGTCACGTACTTTGGACTTGAATTGAATTGAATTAAATCCCCAATGGTTGACTTCTCACTGCAGGATGTCTGGACAATATTCCATCTCTGGGAACTTGGTTGTAAAGACCTGGAGAAGCCCAGGAACTGGATTCTACCTGATTACGGCTGCAAGAGTAGCCCTTCCTGTACCGTGGAGCAGGGGCTGTTAGGCCAGTCTCAGGGCTTATATTCCTATCTGTTTGGTACTGAACTTTTGTTCATGACCTCAAATATGGAAATGCCGTCAAGCAACCAGTTTTGAATGTTGCTTTCCATATCACAAATAAAATATGGGCAGGAGGCCCTGGGTGACAGCAACAATTAAGCACTCACCTCCTAGCTGAAAGGTTGGCATTCGAACCCACGCAGAGGTTCCTAGGAAGGCAGACCTGGTGATCTACTTCCAAAAGCAGATCTTGAAATCCCTGTGGAGCAGTTCGACTCTGTACACATGGGGTTGCTGTGAGTCGCAATGAGCGTGGTGGTAATTAACAACAAAAGTCAGGACAGACAAGTGGCATCGCAATATGTACGACAGAACTGAACAGTCAGTAACTGTGATTTTATCTCCTAACTGGAGAGCCCAGGTAGGTCAAAAGACGTGGGGGCAGTTTAAGCTTCTGGGTGGGCCCGCTGATGGGAGAGTGAACCTTCGAGACCTTGGGCTGGCCACGCCCCCGGCTTTTTATGATTATGTGGTTAGGCTTCTCTGAACTTGCAATTCCCTGAATTCATGAGAAAATGTGGGCTTCTCTGAAAACTGCAGAGACAGGGAAACTGTGTTGGTGTGTTTGTTTTCATTATCTGGAACATGTTTCTGCGTGATGGTCTGGGGCCAGCTGGAGATACCCGTGTCAGTCGTGTGACCCCTCAGCCTTCAGAGGAGTGTGAAATCTTACAGCGGCTTTCTCTGTGGAGATTAATATCTTTTTGCCATCTCTGGAGCAGTACTTTCTCCTGCATGATTGGGTCGCTGCCTTCATGGTCAGAGGGTAGGGAAAGGAGGGAAACCTGGGTTTCTCACACCTCAAAACGGACAAGGGGCGAGATCTTCACACCTTCAGAAGGTGTCTCATTTTGTGTGCACCAGTGCCTACCGCTGGGCTAATTTCTTTTCCTTTTTTGAGTGCGTGGTTATCACCGTCAAACCCGCCTACAACTTACAGTCTCTGAGCTTGGCAGTTTTTTGTAGCATTGTGGAAGTATGAGAAAGTAAATCTCGCCTGGTGCTTGCTTTTTCCCTCCTCTGTGAGGATTCCAGATTTCTTTAGGGACACCTTAATCCATGACTCAGCCCAGCTGGGCAGCAAGGACAGACCCATTCTGATACAAACATTTTTCTTGGAAAAATCTGTTTGGAAGATCCCAGCCGGATGGGGATTTGTCGTGTAAAAGATGTTTCCCTCAGGATGATGTGACTGGAAACCCAATTCAAAGCATGCTTCGGTCGTCTTTGCTTTTGTCTGAGTGCGTATCACATGCCCGTCTCAAACTGGAAATCAGGCCCATGGTTCCCTGGTAGATCAGCACTCTCACTGCTCAGCACCAGTTGGACCCCACCTCCTCCCACCACATGTTGTTACAGAAACAATGCTTTGGTTTTTGTTTTTAATGTTTGTTTTTTGAGACCACCCTCCATGAATTGCTTTTTTTCCTTCCCTCCTAAAAATGCCTTTGGGATTCTCCTAGGAATTCACAGCTCAGCACACATGTTATTGAGGAGCCTTGATTAAAATGTAACCCACCTTGTTTGGGGTGATGTTCTATTTCTTCTGCCTGAATCTCCTCCATCCCCGCGCCTTGATATGAAATGTCAGTGTTCTTCTTAATGGTTGCATACTCACTCCCTCCCCTTTCTCCAGTGACACGGTGTAATTTTTTTTTTCCTTGGCTTGGCTTCTCTTTGCCCTCTTTCTTTCTGTTCCTTTCTGGTTTTCCTCCTAGAATCTTCTTGAATCTTCTTTGAGCACCATGGCCTTTTCCCTTTGTCAAGCTCTTTTCTCCAGACCATCTGTCTTCCATTGCTTCTGACCAGAGTTTTAAACAATCTGCCACAAGAAGTAGCTTAGACTCCTCAGGGTCCCCACAGAAGAGTTAGGCAGCTCCTGCTCAGAACCAACCCTTGTCCATTTTCTCAAGTCACAAAGCAGCTCCATTTATCTGGACCATGAAGGTGGAGGGAGCACACCTGAGACACTGAGTCCCAGTTGGATTATCTGGGAAAATCAGCATCTTCACGTGTGTTGCTCATGGCCTGCGATGAGCCACAATGCTGGCTCCCACTCTAGGAAGAGCCTTTTTCATTGTTTATTTGCTTGGTTTGTTTAATAATGATCTTGACTTTTTCTGATCTTACAGTCAGTGATAAAAGAGAAAGGTTGAATTTCTGTTTGATTTCCCAGAAGGAAATTGAAACCCAGCACTCACGTGAAGCAAGCTTGACACAAAGATGGGAGGGGAGATGAGCTTCTAGATGGAGCGGACATGCGGGAAGGACGGGTGATGTGAGGATAGATGCTCACCTTGGTTACAGTGGTTGGATCGGGCGATGCTCTATAATGCCTGAAGCCCTGAGAGGCGTTAAAGGAAATTAACTTCTTGTTTATTTTTGTCAGCATAAAAGAGAGACCCTCAAGATGACCAAGTATGTAGAGCTGGTCATTGTAGCAGACAACAGAGAGGTAAGAATGTTTTAAAATTTCTCGAAACGTTTGATTCGAAAAAAGAAAACGTTTGGCAAATTTTAACTTGATTTGATCAACCTCGTTTTCTGTGAATCCTTAGAAGTATTGGAAACAACTCACGGAAAAAAAAGTGGTTTTCTGATCCTGTTAAATGTAGAATATTAAAAACGTGTTACCTGCTGTTATAAAATAATAGCAATGATGGCAGAAGAAGCCGGGATTTCCCTGGAGCTAAGCTCTTCCCGCAGGTGGGGGAGGACTGTCGGAAGGAATAGAAGATGGCTTTAGGTTGTGTGCTAGAATAATTTGGGAAAGTTTGGTTCAAATACTGTGTGATATGTTCTCAGTAAATTAAGTAAATGCAGAAAGAAGGCTGTTGAGGTGGAGCAGAACAACTCACACTCTGAGAGACGGGCAGACGTTATGTTAGTGTTCTTCTTGATTCCATTTTTCACGTTGTTTTCTCTGTGCAGCAACAGCCCGTACTTGTTGCTGCTGTTATTGCTGCTGGGCTGATAGGAGTCCAAATCATAGCAGCCTTCAGGGTAGAGTAGAACTGCCTCCCGGGCTGTCCCGGGCTGTCGTCTTTGTGGCAGGGGCTCACCCGGCCTTTCTCCCATGGAGCTGCTGGTGGGCTCGAGCCGCTAACCTTTATGTTGGTAACTGAGCGCTCAACCATTGTGCATACAGGGCCCCTATTCCATAGTATGGATTCAGTGACATTTTGTCACAGACCTAAGATTACGTGGCCTTCAACCCATATGAATGAAACAGGCTTGAATATTTCTCAGAAAACTGTTCACATTCTGGAAGGTCAGCTCGGGGACAGGAAGGGAGACACGATTGACTTCGACCCAGTCTCCTCTGTGTTGGTTGACTTGTTGCCATGAGCTTTGATGACTTTTACTGTTTAATTTTTAAAACAAAATAAAAAGAAATTTTCTCAGGAAGTTAGAATCAAGCTGATGAGATGAAAAATGGCTTTGGACCGCCACCTCATTGTCTGTCTGCTCTTTGCCAAAGCATGTCACTACCTCCATCATTTATGAGGGCTGAAGAAATCTCAGCAGTTCCTGTCTTCTGAGCACTCGGCTTGGGCAACTTTCAGGGAGTCCCCAGCCCAGAAAAATTACTTGGCAGGATGCAAGCTCACTTCACCCTAAACCAGAGGGTCCCTGGTGGTTGGGAAAGCCCAAGACTTCCTTTTTCCAGGAGCCAGCAGATAAGGTTTGATGGCTATTCATGCTGTTATTAATACTGACATTTAAATGTGTTCAGTTTCAGAGGCAAGGAAAAGATCTGGAAAAAGTGAAGCAGCGATTAATAGAGATTGCTAATCACGTTGACAAGGTAAGTTCTTTCTCAGGTAATTAAATCACTGGAATCGTATAAACATTTGCAAATGAGGTGGAGGGAGTTAAGCGCACCTTGTCTGACTTCGCAGGGAGAGAGGCATTCTGCCACCAGGCACCGGGCTGGAGCAGTGTTGTTGCCCTTCTTCTGAGTATGGCTTGCTTTCCCCTGGGCAGCAGCAGGAGGCACCCACCCAGGGCTTTCCGGCCTGTCATGGCCTTGGGGTTGCCTTTTGCTCTAGGCTTTCCTCTAGACAGGCAGACTTCAGTCTCCCCAGGTGAATCGAGAAGCCCATAGGATACCCCAATCCTGTTGTCACTGGACATCCTACCAGGGATCCTCTGGCCTGTTACTCGCCAGAGATATGTGTGCAGCCCTGTGCCAGGGTGACTGGAGGGCGTGCCCTCATTTCTAAGTCCAGGGACACAGAGTTTGGCTTTAGGCTTAAGCAACTGTCAGAAAGTCCCTTGGAGCAAATAGGTCAGAAGTTTACCCATCACAGAGATGATTCCAGAGCTACAAGAAACCCTGGAATCCAGTCTGGTCCTGGGAGGTGTTTGCTCACCGACTGCTCTTTCCACTCCCCACCCCACCTAAACCCCGTCCTTCAAGCACACGTGGTGTACGAGAGCGCTTTGTGCTGTGCAGTGCTGACCACCCTCAGGCGGAATCAGAGGTTCTCACGTTGGCCTCTTCACCTGGGTACTTCCAGCAGCACTGGTGCTTGGCTGTCTCAGCAGAGCGTGCGCGTCAGTATCTTCAGCATTGCCCAGGTGACTCTCCTGTCTAGCATGGCGGCACCTTTGGTCCTAAAGCAGCCGTATGTCTCAGCACTCCCCTGCTTCCTGCCTGTAGGGCTGGCATAAGAAGAGAAAAGGGGCCATACAGGTCTCTGAGCCTTCCACAGCCAGGATCCTGTGAGCAGTTGCATTTTACACATGGGTCAACACTGTTTCCAAACGGTTCTATTCAAATGGAGTTTTCAGAAACATAGAGGCAAAGGCCCTTCCAGAAATTGAGCCCTGTTCTGCAGAGCCTTGTGGACCTACCAAGCATGACAGCCAGGGTGAAGCAGGCACGGTCCGTCTGCTGGAGGGCAGCAGACTCACCAAGCACTTGGCACAGTCCAACGTGGTGGTAGTTACATTGATGCTCGGAATCAGGTACCATGGGGAAGCTGCAGGAGAAAGTCACTGCCAGGGGCCCAGGGATTTCTTTGTGGAAGTTCTGAAAGGTGCACTTGAGTTCACCTGGGGCAGTGCAGGGGAGGGCCTGGCTTGCTCCCCACAAATCTGAACGCCGAGAGTAGCTCCGCACAACTAAGATGTGGGGGCGTGTGTGTTTGTACACGTGCGTGTGTGTATGTGTGCGACTAGGGCAGGAGGAGATGAACCTGAAGGGGAATCAGGTTGCCTGGGGCCCTGAATGCCCTGCAAAGCCGTCTTGATTAGAGTCTGAGGCAGTGGAGTCAGGAGGATGTTTTCCAGCAGGGAGGGGCGACGCGCAACTGTACCAAGACATACCTGCAGTGAGTGTGCAGGGTGGATGAGCTGAAGACAAAGGGCAGGTTAGAGCCTGTTGACCGGGACAAGCATAGATGGTAAGGAGCTGGAGCAGGGCCCGAGGAGGGAGGAAGATGAGGACTCAGAGAGAGAGGTGTGAAGGGGAATGTTATGAGTAAATGTATTGATTGGTGGCTGCAGGCCAGGATCTGAGTGCTTGGTGGCCATCCTCACGTGGGTGCTCCTGTTCCCATTTTCACAGCACAGGAAGCAGCGCTTTGTAGAGGTTAGGCAGGTCCTCGACACCCACTTACACAGTGTTGAAAGGCAGGACAGGAATGAGTCCTCATCTCTCTGACCCCCAAGCAGGGGCCAGGACTCTGTGGCCAACAAAGAGCAGAGGCTGAGGAGAAAGGGAGTTCAGGAAGCTGTGAGTGTGTGGTAGTGGAGTGACAGGCAGATGATGCATTGTGTCCCAGGGACACAGGGAAGCCGGGACAGGAACGAGAAATGTGTGACATGTGAGTAGCCAGAGAGCTGGCTTAGAGCTCAGAGAGACAGTGCCTAGATGCAACTTCCTGGAAGTCAAAAAAAAACCTGGGTGGAGCCAACAACCTGGGTGGACGTGACATTTGAGGCCAGCTAAAAGCCCAGGGCAACCCATGACTGGTGGTGTTTTCACAGTAGCTACTCTGCAAGTTCACCTTTATCCCAAAGTCAAGTGGATATGGGATAACCCTTGAAAAGGCTATGGGCTTCTAGCAGGGAAAGCAAAGGAGCACGGGATCCTGAGGGCTTACGTCAAGAGACAACATAGGAGTTAGAACTGGGTCTCAGTCCTGGCTAGGCATGAGGAGCCCCTGGGAAGTTCTTTGTTGTGTGTGTATGTTTGCTTTTCAAATACTGGCTCCAAGTCTCAGCCCAGAGGTGCTGATGGGACTGGCCCAGGGTGGAGTGGGCAGGGGATTGGTCAGGGCCACCTGTGATGCCTGGTGTGAGGCAGGAGCCCCCATGGCCTGGGAGGCCACAGAGTGTACAAAGAGAAGAAAAGTGAGTTCTGCACAGGCCTTGGAAGTAAAGGGAACTATGCACTACATTCAGCCTATAGTGTGAATTGCTAAATTCCAGTGTTAAAAAGTGCTGTTTAACCCTCTGCATTTTTACTTGTCTGCATTTTATTCTATATTATATCTTGCTTCAGTTTGCAAAACCAAAAAGGAACAATTGGGGGTTTGTGGTCATAAAGAACAGTAAACCACCAGAAAGGCCTACAGGGCTCGGTCAAGTTGGCCAGCCTGGTTGTTCTTGGTTTTCAGTGGGTGAGAGATGATTTGCTGAGCACACATATGTGTCCAGCACTGGCATTGTGGTCCATGTCCCACAGACCATGAAGACCCCAAAGGGGACACCCAGGCTCCTTAGGACCCTTTGGTGCATCCAAGTCGATTAACCATTGGCTCCTGGTCTCTGTCAAAGGCTCTACATTTCAGTTTGGCAACTTTAAAGTTGAGAGTGTCTCAGCCCAAAAAGGAAGAAGGCTCTCAACAAGATAGACTGACACGGTGGCTGCAACGATGGGCTCAGGTACAGCAAGGAGTGCGAGGCTGGCACAGGACCAGGCACTGTTTTGTTCTGTTGGACACGGGGTCACTTTGGTTCAGCAATGACTCAACAGCACCTAGCAACAGCGGCCCAAAAAATGACTTTTCCAGTGGCAACTTCCGCATCTGCTGAAACCCTGAATCTTCTTGGCCCTTTTAAATTCCCAACCGCTTGTCCCATACTAGCTTGAAGCAAAGAGAGGGCATTACAGACCATAAAACAGAAAAGTGATTTCATGGCAAAGATGACATCCTGAAACATGCAGGAAATTCCCTCTGTAAGTGAAACACAGAAGTGTGTTGAACACTCATACTTCTGGACCAAGGTTTCACAATGTGTGCTAAGAGAAATCTGGGTCCAGATGCGATGCATGTGGGCAACAATTGTGTGTGCCTGCCTGATGAAGTGATGGCCAAAGCTCTGCCTCCTTAGCCTGCCACCTTGGTCCATCCTGCTTCTCATTCATTTGAAAACCAAGCACCAGCTGCGAATTCTTTAAAGCTAGCCTTCAGGGACCTACTTCTGAAGAGCCTCATCTTCTGCGTGTTGAATTTCTCCAGCTGTATCCTCTCTTGTGTGACAGTTTTCTTGCCTTCTCTCCCCGGCAAGTTGCCTGAAGAATACAGGTGCCCTTGTTGGCCTCCAGGGGGATTCTCCTTTTATTCTACCCTTTTTGCCCAGATCCCCTTCTTTCAGAAAGCCAAGCGTAGCCCACCTGAGCTTCTGTTCGCACCATTTCTTGGCGACTCACTGTACTGTAGTTAACTCTACTAATGGGCAAGTGTCCCTTCCCTGAGACCTCCTGGTGACCTCTGAGCATCTTGAGAGTGGGAGTGGAGCCCACTAACCCATTTCTCCCCTGCGAGGGCCAAGCTAGCACACAGCATGGGCCAAGCAAATCTTTTTGCTAGTCTCTTAGTAGATGAATGAATTCCACCATATCTCTGGCTGTGTCCACATATGTTCTGGCATTTGTGAGCCTGGCAGGCAGCTGCCAAACTCTATTTGTACCGTTTGGGCCTGAGAAGCTGCTCCCTAGGTCTGGGGTTACAGGTGTCATCTTGGAAGGCAGTTACAGTGCTCCCAGCAAGGGGAGACTGTGCTGCTTAGTGCCTTAAGACATGGGACCTATGGCCATCGTGACTGTGGCTAAGTTACCGAAGCCTCCATGCCTGAGGGCCTCAGCTATCAAGTAGGGATGCCCATAGAGTTGTTGCAAGCATTAAGAGACCTACAAGTGGAAAGCACCTCCCCGCTGCCTGCCTCAGCCGTAGTCAATGTTCACTCACTGCCGGCTGTGACTGTTTTAAGGAAGACCCATGAGCAGCACTAGGGGAATGTCCAGAGGAGACCGGAAGTGTATGAACATGATGACCTGGGGTGAGTTTACCACAGAGGACAGTTAATCGACAGCAGGTCTGGAGAGGAGACACGTCGATGCTACAGGATGAGCTCCGTTGTAAGGATGTGGCTTGAGAGAGCTGACGGGTGGGGAATGTGTCCCTATTGTTATGATGAAAGACCCTGGTTCAGTAGCCATCCCTGAAGAATGATGCCAGTTAGTCTGTTAGGAGCCTTGGCTCCTGATTCCGTGGAAGCAGGTAGAGCCCACCCCCCCACACACACACACACAGAGGATGCGGTTCCATGCATGGGTATCTGGCCCTGAGGACATCACTGAGCAAACCAGAGAGAGCATCTGCGTCGGCTCTCCAGCATTTCTGCCTTCTGATCACTGTCACCTTGTCCCTACCAGAGCAGAAATTCAATCCTTTGAAGGATAGCAGCCAAACACGTGTGTTTGGAGGCCCGAGGATGCCAAGAACTTAACTTTGCCTGCAGGCCTGGGCCAAGAGCTTGCAAGTGGACGACACAGGCTGAGCAGTTCTTGATTAAAAGCAAGCGGTTGGGCAGCCCTCTGGTCTTGTAATTGTGTCATTAACTTATTAACGTAATGCCCCTAGTTATCTGCATGAAACCAAGCTGGCCAGTAGCCATCAGTTAGCATTGTCTGATGAAGACCACGCCGCACTCCAGACACTTTCTGCTGCAAACCTCATGTTCTGCGGATGACTGGGGGGCGGGGGTAGGCAAGGGAAAAGAGGAGGCGCCTCGCACGGTTCGGATCAGGGTCAGAGACTGTACCTTGGGGAACTGTTTGCACTTTAGCTCATCATGCTACAATGATGCTTAGCTAATAAACGTGGAGCTTCTGTGATTCGTGTGTGATTGCACGGCCCAGATGCTTCTGGAAATGAGAAGAGGGTCTGCCCACATCTGGAGCTTGACTGTGCCTGGCAGCACCAGCTACCCTTCTCACCTTGGCTACCTAGACTGCCGGGGGAGGAGACTTTCTCATTGCTTGCTACCTCACACAACACGGACGTTGAAAGGTTTCCCAGCCAGCCAGGTGATCCCCAGCCCAGAGCACTGGGCCTCCTCCCTGCCTGTTTGATGAACGAGGGGGCAGTGAGACAGCTGGGGGCCACAGGGGTAGGTCACGCCCCAACGCTGACCACTCATTCCACCCAGCGTGATCACAACTACACGTGCATGAGTCTTGAGAACATGTTGAGTGAAATACTCACAAAAGGACAAATACTACATGGTTCCATTTAGGTGAGATAACTAGAGCAGGCAAGTGTAGAGACCAGACGGAGGAGCTGTGGTGGCACAGTGGTTAAGGTGCTCTGCTGTGACCTAAAGCTCAGCAGTTTGAACCCACCAGCTATTCCATGGAGAAGGATGAGGCAGTCTGCTTAGGCAGGCTGGGAAATCCTCCAGGGCAGTTCTGCTCTGTCCTACAAGGTCACTGTGAATCAGAATGGACTCCACAGCAGTGGGTTTGGGTTTGGGTTGGGACCAGTGCCTTCAGCCACGGGAAGAGTAGATTTTCTTCCCTCTGACCCAGGACGGCCTGTCTGCTGAGGATGGGTAGTGAACACAGCACTCCTCATACATACAGAATGCATACAGCCCTGACCACCGCCGGACAAGGTTTGCCTGGAGAAGGTGGTGCTTCACGGCCTCCACTTAGGAGGTCTATCCCAGGACAGGGTTGGTGAGCTCACATCTGGCCACAGGGAGAAGAGTGGCCACTGCGGTGTCTGGAGGGCTGGGGTCATGCCCTTACGATCCTGAAAGCTGTTGGTCTGTTGGGTAATGAAAGCCTTCTGGGTTGGTTACAGATGACAGAATGTGGTCCAGTCAGCCAAGTCTGAGCCCTGCTGAAAAATTAGTAAGGACTCATTCTCAGTAACTCACAGACAGGAGATTCTGCTTCAGATGAACAAATGATGGTCCTTGGCAGACATCCAAGGGAGCTCTTCATTGACTCGTGTCCCTTGCAGGGAGTAATAGCTGGTGGTCGTTAGCTATGATACACCTCGGTATGCACATTTGAATTCACGGCGAACAGTGTGAAAGGAATGTTTCTATACAAATATGGGCAGACCATCAAAATGCTGATAATTTTCCCGTGTGACTGATCAGGAGTGTTTGCGAATCCAGTTAGCACCTCTCATGGCATCAGGCTCTGCAAATAGTGATTACATTCTGATGCCGCGGGGGGAAAGGAGCATAAGGATGCTTTGCCTGGTCCCCGTGAATGAAGTTCCAGCAACGCAGATCAGTTCTGATCTCTGTTTGAAGCTCTCACGGGCGTGGTGCTCAGAGGAGGCCTTTCTCTGCAGTTTTACAGAGCACTGAACATCCGCATCGTGTTGGTCGGCGTGGAAGTGTGGAATGACATTGACAAGTGCTCCATAAGTCAGGACCCCTTTACAAGCCTGCATGAGTTTCTGGACTGGAGAAAGATGAGGCTCCTACCTCGCAAATCCCACGACAACGCGCAGCTTATCAGGTAGGTGCTCTGGTCCCACCTTCACTTCAGGACCTGGTGGTCCTGGGGCCGCCTCTCTCCTCTTACCCTCACCTGCATGGTCGCTGAGGCTACAGACTCTGCTGGCTGGGGCTCCTGAGACAGTGCCATCCTGACCTGGAGTCGTGGGCATGCTGAGCAAGGCTCCCCGTTCACCCTGAGAGACCGCCCCCTTAAGCAGATGTCCCCACTGCCTTCCTTATCACCTGGATGGGTTTCTCCGTGCAGATTTTTCTAGTCTTCATCTTGACATGGAGTTCTGTTGTTGTTTTGGGTGCTGTGGAGTTCATTCTGACTCATGGCGACCTAATAGGACAGGGTAGCACCACCCCATAGGGTTTCCTAGGCTGTAATCTTCACAGGAGCAGGCCGGCTGGTGGATTCAAACTGCCAGCCTGTCAGTTAACAGCTAAGTGTTGAAGCATTGCACCACTTACATATGCCCTCAAGTCAGTGCCACCTTACAGCGACCCTGCAGGGATAGACCTGCCTCATAGGGTCTCTTAGGCTGTAATCTTCACAGGGTCACCAGGTCTTTTCTCCCACAGAGCCTCTAGTGAGTTCAGAGTGGTGACCTTTTGGTTAGCAGCTGAACACCGCCAAGTCTCCTTGAGGATTTCCTGGAGGATGCAAACAGTTAATGTGCTCAGTTGCGAACTGAAAGGTTGAGGGTTGAGGTCTACCCAGAAGCAGCTCTGTTGAAAGTCCTGCCACTCTACTTCTGACCAATGATTGAAAGCCCTGTGGAGCCGGACGTTGATGGTGTAGCCATGAGCTGGAATCAGTTGGAATGAAAACTGATTAATCTCAATATAATGTTCACCTGGGTAGCCTGTTTTCCGAGAAGTGTTTTTTCCCTCCTTATTAGTGGAAAATGTTTGTAGGTGATCTGAGGACAGTGCACTGGGGTGAATATTGTCAGATGCTAGGAGAAAGGAAATCTTCACTCCTTCACTTGTTTTGCCAGTTCCTCTTTGGTCTTGTAGATCAGAGGATACCAGTGCTATCCTTTTAATCAATAAGTATTGACCTCTTATAAGGAACCAAATGATGACTTAGAGGCTTTGAATGCAGTGGTGATGAAGACAGTAAATCTCCCTGATCTCAAGGAGTCTGCTGGGAAGAGACAAGGATAAACAAGGAAACTTGAGAGAATGAGAAGTGTTGTCAAAATGAGGGAAAACTTGACTAGAACAAATAGCATGCTGTAACATGGCATCATACTGGAACATACCATGACATAACAATAACATACTGTTAAAGGGCTGGGAGGCGGCATCTTCTGACCACCTCTAACTTCATAAGAGGGAGACAGAATCACCATCAGCAGCCCAAGGCCTGTTCCGTGAGGCCAGACATGTTGCCACCCTCCAGCCCTCTTACCAACCTTGACACCAACCATTCCTCCTGCGGCACCCACCATCTCTCTGCTGGGTTTGAAAATTTGCTACAGTGGCCACACACAACTCACAGATTATGGGGTTCATGAGGGAAGCAACAGGTTACGATTCAAATTCTGGAACGTACTCAGGGTACAGTTCTTCAATCAGGACAGTCTCCCCTCTGCTGTGCCCTTAGACAAGCCTCTCTGGCCCTTGGCCTCTCGGCCTGACCTCTGCCTCTTTGGGCCAGGTAAGCCTCCACTCTGTCCTATGCCTCTTGGTTCCACTGCTCCCATGTCTCAGCCAGCCGTCAGATTCCTTCTGCCTCTAGGAGAGCTCATTTTGAATCTGGTGGAGTAGCAAAATCAACCAATCCCAACATCAGAGTTCTACACACCTGAGAGAGAGTGAACTTTTCTAGATTACTTCCTGCTGCTCCAACAGAAATACTCCAGGTGGATGACTTTAACAATCAGGAATTTAAATTGCATGGTCCCACCTGGTAATCCTGTGGGAAACAAAGAGTATGGCTAGAAAAGCCATACCTTGTAATTGACTACACTGCATGTATATACTATAACATAATAGAATATGGCATCATACTATGACATATATGTGACATAATGACATACATACTATAACATAACATGGCATCATGATATAACATCACGATGTAACAATAAACATGCATACTATAGCATAACAACATAACATGGCATCATACTGTAACATGACAGGACAATAACATGCATACTATAACAATGTAAATGATATAACATGACATATTATGTAACATACCATGATATAACAATAACATAACTAATGTAACACCCTAACATATCATGACATAACAATAACATACATACTATAACATAACATAGGAGCTCTGGTGGCATAGTACCTAAGGTGTTTGACTGCTAACCAGAGGTTAGCAGTTCAAACCCACCAGCCACTCCTCAGAAGGAAGATTAGACAATCTACTTCTAGTAGATTTAATATGTCACGTTATATCATTATGTTGTTATAGTATGCATGTTACTGTCCTGTCATGTTATAGTATGATGCCATGCTATGTTGTTATGCTATAGTACGCATGTTTATTGTTACATCGTGATGTTTTATTATGATGCCATGTTATGTTATAGTATGTATGTCATTATGTCATATGTAATGATACTGCCTTGGAAACCCAAGGAGGGGTCACTATGAGTTACAATTGACTTGACAGTGAGTTTGTTTGTTTGTTTTTGGTATAATAGAGCCTAACAATATAATGTAACCACATAATATACAAAACAACATGAAACCACAATATAACAACATGACATAACAAAATATATGGATAATACATTGCAGACACCTTTATAGTTAAAGGGAGAAGCACTGTTACATTCTAAACTGATAATAAGATGATTTTCCAGAAGTGACAAACTTATTGAAAGTCCTTAGATAGCACGGGCCATCATTCCTCTGTTCTTGTGCAGCTCATATCACTGACATGAAAACCTTGGGGACAGAGACATTTGTTTTGAATGATCAGATGGAGCTTATTGACCATTTATGAGAAGTTAAGCACATCCTACCCACATCCAAATGGCTGCGTCTGATCCAAGGCTGCTGGCGTTCCTTGATTGTTGACTGTGGCCATTTTTGTAGCTTTTGGGGTTTTTGTTTTTTTTTCATATTATCGTTGCCTCATATTTTACACGTTGATTAGTCCTAAGCTACAAAGAGTGCATTGCAGATACTTCAGGTCTGAGTGTTTTGATTTTTTTTCCCAAATGGGATCTGCCCTACTTGAACATCTGGAGATAAATGAGCTGTTTGTATGACCTTATTATTTATGTACATGTACGATAGCATCTATTCACATGGTCTACCTAAAACCAAGACACCAAGGCACTTGTCGTTGAGTAGACTCTGACTCGTAGCGACCCCGTGTGTTGCAGAGGACAGTGGTACTCCACAGCGTTTCAAAAGCTGGGACCTTTCACAAGCAGATCAACAGGCTTTTCTTTTGAGGTATCTCTGCATGAGTTTGAACTGCTAACCTTTCCTTGGTAGCTGGTCATTAAGCTGTTTGCTGTAGCCAGGGACTCCATGGTCTGCACAGGTGTATGCATAAAGCTGCTGTCCCTACTGTTGCACATATGAGGGTGAGGGCATATCGACAGACAGGGTTCTGCACACTTGCTACCTTCTCTCTAATCAATAACTGCCAAAACAGCTAACTCCTCACACTGTGTGACATCTGTGCTCATACATGACCAGGTAACAGGACTCTCTGTCCATATATGACCAAGATAACAGGACTCTATGTCCATATATGACCAAGATAACAGGACTCTGTGCCCATACATGACCAGGCAACAGGACTCTCTGTCATTCATGACCAAGGTAACAGGACTCTGTGTCCATACA